TGGTTTTCAGGAGTTGTCTGCAAAAGTTTAAGTCTCTCAATACGAAACCTTTTAATGCAAAATTATTGCCTCTTCAGAAACATTTGACTTAAAAGAATTAATAACAGGGAAATAAAATACACAACAAAATGCATAAATGGAATGCAATAGATCTCTGATAAAAGCCTTCTCCAGGTATTTTCCTGCTGTCCCAATTATTCACGGTAAATACGTCAGTGCCTAACTAAAGAAATGCACCTTGAGTCGGAACTCTTATTTGCTTGTAGCTTGCCATTAGCAGTACAGTTGCCACTTTCTATTTTGTCCCTGAACTTAAAGTAATCCATGATTCTTCTAAAGCAAGTAGGTAAGGCATTTCAGAACATGAAGGGGAGCAAAAAGCCACATGCCACCCTACCTCCCAGAGATGGAGAGCTCCGAGTAGCTAGGAGCCGATGTTATGATAGGATATGCAAGAAAGCACCTACTCTGCAATCCCTTAAAGCAAATATCTTATAGTAGGAAAGTGATATGGCATGGCAGTTACAAACAAATGGTACGATAAGCTACTTCTTTCCTACGGCCTTTGCTTTAAAGATGCCAGCAGCTGCCTTTGTCACTGGTGGAAGTCAATGTAAGTTAGCAAGATGGACAGCTTCGTTCTCTCTCATGTCTAGCCTACCCACAAGGTAAGCAAAACAGCAATTACACCAACTGAAAGAGTAATTACATCAACTGAAAGAGCAGAACAGAAGTGTAAGACTGCACAATCAAGAAGCAAACTGTTTTAACATTGAAATTTCATACTCTGCTCTGTCAAGTCAGAGACAAGTTTGGTCCTGCCTTGCAGATAAAAACAAAACTGACAAGATTAACAAAACGTTGAAAAAAACACAACTAAAAAGCTTGGTAAACTTCCTATTACAGCTATGCAAATAGCCACAGACAATGAAAACAAGCATTCCAGGAGACCTAGAAAAATAACACTTTATTACATGGTGCCACAACAAGAGTGGTGTATTTAGAGAGGAATGAACCATAAAGTAAAATCTCCTTGATCAAATTTTGTAAGGTATAAAACTATGAATAATGTATAACACTATCCAAAATCGCCTGACCAGAAACTTTCTGCCAGAAATGCAGCTTGGCTGCCCATTCAAAATGTGTCCGTGGCCTTCCTCTATAGTTTCCAAATAACACTAAAAACAAAACCTCGCCCAAAGCTTGCAATTAAGTATTAACTAGCGTCACTGAAAGCATCAGTCACTCTCACAGACGCTCTGGAGGAAACACAGAGTTAGATGACTAGGTGTTCACTCCCTTGTCTTTCAGATTAGGGTTAGGAAAACACGTGAACAGCTTTTTCACTCCCATGGGCATGTGTTTCCTTCAGTGACCATATATGGAAAAAAACCTATAGCTTTGGATATCCTTCCTGTCATTGTATACTTCTCTCTCTTTTCCCTTCCGTTTTCATTTGGTCACCAAGCCTGCTCCTTTACTGGGACAGCTGGCATTCCCAAGCACATCCTCCCTATACCAATCCATCACATTGAAACACTTGCACGTACCTCAAGCACAGACAGAAGGTCATACAAAACTGCTGAAAAATAACTAAAGCATCATTTAGATTCCTCATTTCCCAGGAGCTCCCACAGAGAGCCAGAGATCTGGGAATGTCCCATGGCAGCCTGCTCTAGAGATGTTGATGCTTAAAACCTGGAATTCCCAAACCTGAATGTTCTCTTCAAAATGACAGACCTTGGAGAACATGAGATATCATGCCAATAGGCGACAGCATGTTTATTTCTGACAGAAGAGTTTTGGTGCCATACAGACTTGGTTTCTATAGGAATCTTAAATCAAACTGCTGCTAGAAATTTTTTGCAATAAATTGTTTGCATTTTTCTAGCTAGCACTAGTAACAAAATAGGATTGATTATTTGTACAAAGGAGATGCTGAAATAAGAAACACACTACATATAATTTTATTTCTAGACACACTTTCTAGGTGCATTAATTTCCTTATAAAAGGTCAAGAGTTTCACTTTGCTCAGGATTACACAACAGGAACCAAAAACCTTTTCCCAAAGCACAGTTAAATGGTGCAGTGGGCTTATGCCCAATCAATTTTTCTGAAGAGGCTATGGCTCAATGGAGATTTACACATCAAAGAAAAATAAGTATGTACATCTCCACAAATCAGTGTGGGGTTTTTTTACCGCCATGTCAGAAGAAATACCAGAAATTGCAGTTTGTCTCAGCATCTCTTCATTCAAGTTCCTGAGCAGCTAAAAAAAAAACAAACACCTTGAAGATTGCAAGGTCTCTGTCGAAGTGTAGCAACCTCCCCAGATATGCCTGAGCCGTACTTTTAACAGTGGCCTGCTGCTCCCAAGATCAGTCAACCTTAGAACTAGCTGCAGGCTCCAAGGCTGGGATGATGCCGTCTCTGTCCCAGACCCAGTTCTTGGCCCGTACTGACCAGCGTGGTAGGCAGGCACCCCACTGGCGATGAGTCTAGGCTTGGCTGCAGCAGGACCATATGGCTCACCTCATGGTCTATTAAACAGCATTCAAGTACCAACTCTATGTTCATAGAGTGAACAACTGGACTGGCATGAATCCTTAAGGCTACAGCACAAGGCACTATATATTAAAGGGTATGAAAAGTTGTTTAGGATTGGCAGAGATGGCGTAAGGCAGCCTCCATGGCCCTTATTTTAGGCACCTACAATATTTTAAAGTATCTTTTAAAGATGTTGAGAGGTTTACCAATTTTAGCAGAGACAAAAGTGACTCTGTTGACTCTGCAGTTCTCATAAGCATCTACAGACAGGTGGGAAGGAAAGCAAGGTCACCATAAGGTAAGATCACTTGATATTTCTACGGTTTGAAAAAACACTGTCTCTGTAAAAGAAACCATAACAAAGATTATTTTGTAATCCTGTATTTTAAAGATAAGTTGTCTACTTAGCTAGTGCCAGAAAGACAAAATTTTCATATAGAAGCAACACCAAATAAAGAAAATTCGTGGAGAAATCATATCTGTCCAGGACAAATTAGTCTTACACTTTTCATGACTTGGCACTCTATCCAAACTTGTAAGGAATACCTATTACTATCATGCAGTTGATATCTCCTGCCATAAGTTAAAACTCAACATTTTCTCACTTCAAACTACTGCTCTTAAAGTGGATTTCTCGTGTCTGGACTCCAGAAGTTCTTGCTCCGAAATGGCACCCTGATCATACAATTGTCGTCATTAGTGATTAATGATGTTTATGAAACATTTTTCTACCAAGTTAAGACTCTCATAATATATACAAGAATGACTGCTGACCATTTCTGTTCTGGAAGACCATCTCTGAAGAGAGATAGAAAAGTGCGGAGATCAGTGTATTACTATGTACTTGATCACAGCATCACAGAATGGTAGGGGTTGGAAGGGACCTCTGAAGATCATCTGGTCCAACTCCCTTGCCAAGCAAGGTCACCTAGGGCAGTACACAGTACTGACTTTCAGAATGTCAGACAATCTGTAACTCCCAGACTTTATTTTTAAAATCCTCCATCATATTACAGGAAATTTTATGCAGCTGAACAAAGGTAGCAGAGCCGAAAGTTCTTTAGCAAGCAACTGTGTGAATTTAGCAAGCAATTGTGCTTGCTAAACAAAACTGTGAAGAAAGAAAACCTGAACATAACCAGAGTTCAGATCCAAGAGGGCCAAGAACTACCAGAAGCTTATTTGATCTGATTAATCGGCTGCCTGCATTTTAGCCAATGTTTCTGGAAAAGTTACAGATGAAGTGTGAAGGCAAAAAATTAATCATAACAAAGTAACTTCTAGAACTCTTTCCATACATAATGTGCTTTTAACCTAAAAGCTAACACTGAAGTAAGATGCATAAACTTAGGGCCATGTTTAGACACTTACCTGATTGCCCATCACTCAACTCAGTCTCTTGTATATGTGACTGCAAAGTCAGGTGGCAACCTCACAACACACTGGAAATACTCCTCTATGCCAGCATCACACTGAGGAGCGAACTGCTGGCTTTAATCTCACCACTACGACGTCTAACAAGATAAAACGATTACTGCAACATACAGACTTGAAGACACAGTACCTCATTTTCAGCCATACCACCCAGACCTGTGATCAAAGTCTTGTTCTGTTATGGACAGGGCTTAACCATGTTCCATTACTCTCAGTAATTCTGACCAGGCCAAAATAATATGGGTCATGTCAGTTCTCTATAACCACAAGGCTAGGCCTTTGACTTCTTTGTAATATGCACCCCTGTAGAGGAATTACAGAAGGTGAATAACAGTCAGAATATGAGCTTATATCTACTTCCCAGCCTTCCATTCCTAAATTTAGACTTGGAATGCAATCATATTTTCCAATATGATATGTATGTATATATGCTATATATTTTAGCCTTTAAATTTGCATTATATATTTATGGCACTCTGGCTGCCCTCTTAGAATGGGCTCATTTCCACCCAGCACAGGGGAAAGAAGACCAAGTTTTTATTTTCCTACAGTTACCATTCAGACATATCCAGTATGTTTCTGCATTCATCATGAGGGTTTTTTCATTTTTTGCGTTGTGCAAAGAGAAATTAAGAGTTTCAGATATCAAAAATAACACTATAACTCAAACAATTTTAATGTCTAGAGGCTCTCACACGGCAATCTAGCCTTTGAAAGAAACAGGTTTCCTCAAAAACAGACTTAATTTACAATACAGTAATAAAGGCTACTTCTAACAATTACAGGAAAATGTTCTGAAATGCACATACCAGGATCTTAATACAGGAAACAGAATGAGTAACTCGTCTTGACTTCTCCTTAAAATAACGACGAACTAATAAAATTTCATTTTGGGGGAGTGGGTGGTGTGATTTTTGTTTTGTTTGCTTTAATCAACACAGACCTTTTGATGAGAGACACAGCTGCTACCATTGCTTTCAGGACAGAATGAAAACTAAAACTTCTTCACTGTACTTACATGTGAGGACTGAGTTCATAAAAATTTCGGTTTCTGTATTCTTCCACTTTCTCTGGAGTATAAATGGGTAGAGATCTGTAGGGGTTTATTGATATCACCACGCTGCCAATGTACGTCTGTTGAAGGAAAAAATGTAAAAAATTATCATGGATTTTTCTTTTTAACATACTTTTGCTGCTTATATATTATTCTCCCACTTAATACTTACACAAAAACAAACAAAAAGCCGAATTGTGGCGATAACTAAATATGTACATACACTCTGAATCATCTTTTAGATCTCTCTCAACAATCACTGATGGGTACCAAGTAGCAATTTCTACATAACTGAAAGCCTCTTATGAATATTTTTTAAAAGAATGCCCAATTGTACAATATTTGACTAATTCAGCTGCGGGAGGGAAAAGGAAACGGACGCAGACGTTCACAAAGAACTGACACCACCTGCATGGCAAGTGTCACACAAGCTTTGCTGCAGCCCTTGCGCACTCATGCAAAACCACGTAAAGGCACGGCTGGAGTTGGACTGTCCATCACCCGAAGAGGAGCTTCATGCCGTCTCTTCAAAGCCTTGGGCACAGAAGAGCTTCACAGAGAAGAAACCTAAAGGCTAATAGCCTCTTCTGCCACAGGAGAGATTTGCTGTCAGGATTCAGGTCAGTCGACGGCCTGCTGTGGTTCCTCAGAAGTGAAGCATAATTTTTGTTTCCAGATTCTGAACATCCTTGCCATTACTCTTGGAAAGCAGATGGAGTAGTACATTGTTTTACTCTGTTAGGTCCCATTCACTACTGAGCTGAAGACCGATACTTGTACACCATGATTACCATGTTGGCGTACAACACAATTAACCTGCCTGCATCAAACCTACTGACGGGTGCCCCGCAGCTCTCCGCACCTCCCTCCAGCTGCAAGGGCTGCGTTCAAATACACCGGAGTGCCAAAAACCACCAAAACTCCATTCCACTCTGCCTGCAGACACTGACCAAAGATTAATTAAACATCAAGTGTTTGGTATCTCATTCCACAACCATGAAATAAATACATCACACCTGGTGAAACACGATTTTCTGATAACCAGGGACTCCCTGGGACACGTAAAGGCTATACACAAAAGCTACAGGTTCCCATTATACGTCTTACATTTGCTAGTAACTACAGAAGAAAAACAATGTTTTTTACATAGATCTATGATTTTAAATGGCTTCTCTCCAGTGATACCTTAGCACCTCACAATCACTATTTGGATTTCTCCCCAGAATTTTCCTTACAGAGAAGTGCTGTAATACGCATTTTTGAATGGGAACAGAGGCACAAGGAGCACGAGTTACTCAACAACAGGTTCAGCACAGCGTTGAATTACCTCCAGAGAAGCAGTCACAAATTAAAAATATTAATTGTTGCAACCCTTCTCTATCTAACCTTCATGTCTAAAGCAATTTTCTGCTAAATGCTAACTAAATTTGTTCATAAGAAAGCTAGGAGAGCAAGATTTCCCATCTTCCACAGCATGCATATGCACAGGCAAGCTGTGAACTCACGCGGCACTTTCTGTCCCAGGCTGCAGTGACAAAACACGTAGCAGGAGGCTTCCAGAGACTTTTGAGGTCCATCCTTGTAATGTTTACTATCCACAGGATAAAACAGAAGCTGTCACTGCTGACAATTCATCATACAACTGCTGCTACGATGAAACACAATACATGACTAATTGGGCTCAAGACTCACCATTTCCAAACAATGCGTACTTTCTCCTCTCCTTTGGAGCTGGCCAGAAACCTTCTGCGAAACGCTTCCCCCCATGCATCCAAGCCCAGAACAAGACCAGATCCCTAGGAACAGGCTGGTTTCATACCAAGAGCCCATGCAGAGTGCTGCAAGGGGGAACAAGTCTGAAGGTGCCTCACATCTTGGCAGCAAGGCTGCAATTCAACAGAGGGACAACTCCAATGGGCCTCACACTGCAACCCAGGAGGGAAGCACCCCCAAAGGCATTCAGATACAGTCTGTTTAGAAAATCCCAAAATAATTAAGATTTTTGCTTCCTTCAAACACATGCTGCAGTGTGTGCTTATATATTTTTTTCTCCAAATTAAAAAAAAAAAAAAAAAATGTTCCTAGTCATCCTCCCCTTCAGGAGGAAAGTGTTTCCCATCTATGTCTAATCTCTGGCTGAACAAGAAAATGCAAAAATTGCCTTTCTACAGTGTTTACTTTGCTCTCTCAACACATTGTGGCTTTGTCCATTTGCAAGCTTACAGATTCTTGGCGAGAATAACAGATACCCAAGAGGAAGCAGCTTTCTAGTCTTCACAAATGCATGGATACCCCCGTTAGGACTCTTTCCTGATAAAACATTAATATACTAACTTGTTTCCTCCTAAATCTTAAGAATTTGTGAATTCAGCCTGTTGTGAAATCAGTGCTGGAAAATGTCGGCAGAAGGCAGATGAAGGCCAGATCTTGAAGATTATATTTTGAAACAGGAATTCTTTGGAACTCAAAGACTTGCCCTTTTCAGCTATTCTGCTACCATAATAGCGTACGATTTAATTGCTAAGTTCCTTGAAGCACCCTGAGATGCCAAGGTAAAGAAAGATGAGTGAAAGTGAAAACCTTGATTTTTAATTCAGGCATTCAAATGAGATTTATTTAGAACCACCTCTTCATAGCTAATTATTGCTTAGATGATGTATTTTGGGAATTCAAGTCAGCTGTTTATTGTCAGACATGAACAAATACAGACCATTTCCTAAAATACCAATATTTCAAAAGGTCAAATGACTATATAGAAACAAAGACATACTCATGTCCATTTTAAACACCAGGCTAAAGCATGCCAAGAATCATTTGTTTTGCTGCAAAGCTGCTTACAAGAACTAATATATTTCCTTTTCTAAAAATGCCAGTATCTCAAAGCTGATGCCTAATAGCTACTTGCTACTGGTGGTCTGTGAGATTCCACATAACGTGGATAAACAGATCCAGAAAATAGCTTTCCCACATAACATCTGCCTTCCCACCAGCACTCTATTATAAACAAACAAAATAAATGGCTGAAATCCTTGAACAAGCAACAAGCACAGAAACATTCCAGTGCTGCAAGCAGAATGCCCAAGAGGAGTGGGAGACCATACCATGGCACCCCAGGGACTAAAGAGATCCTTCATTTTCCCTGTTTAAGGAAATGAGAGAATGAGGAATGGCCTTATGATGAACATACAGAATGCAGTCAGGAGATTTTATTTCTTTCTTGGCTTTGACATGGTCCTGTTACGCGAGTTTGGACAAGAACTGCTGTTTCCTCAAGTTTTGCTAACTGAAGACTCTTGATACTCCTCCTTCCTCCCAATTTCTACTTTATTCCAATAACTCACAAAGGCAAATTCTACCTCCTCGGCATGTTTGTCCAGAACCCAAGCCAAAAGGGCTATCACTTGTCATTTATCAGTGCATCTGTCATGTAGCACAGCAACACTGTAATGCGCTAACATTTCATCTGCGGAAACGAGCATTCACATTTGTATGGGGTCAAATGATAACACATTCTGCATTCACCAAAACAACGCAGACAACTCATTCCTGTTCAGTAAAGTGTTTAAGACCCTGAGTAGGAAGAAAATTCTAAATCACAACTCAGCTGGAAAAGCCAATAGTATTTGCTGTATCACTTCTAAGTGCTGTTGGAGATGCAAGATCCAAGACACTTTGATGCCTCATTTTCCCCTCCTAGGACTGAAAGAAAACATAACTACTTGGGGCAAGATGTTACTACTCCTTCAACCTTGTATCCACCTGGCAAGGCCTTCTGTGCCTTTCTAACTCAAGCAGCTTTAAGACCGGCTTAAGAAGAGGCCCAAAATAGCAAGACAATGCAAGGCTCCCATTGCTCAGGAGAAACCCACAGGCAACAGCCTCTTCCCAGACAAAGGCTGGGGAAAGCTCTTGCTCGAAACTGGCAAACTGCCTGAAACGCCTGTGGACCTCTTCAGCTGAGAGGTTGCAAAAACCTTACAGAGAACCCAGCAAAAGGTCCCCAAACACCTCTGCAGCCAGGATGTGCAAGCACTGCAGTGAAATCTGCTACACAGGGAAGAGGCAGTACAGGTCAACTCAAGAAGGGGAGCTTTTAGAAGACCACTAGTAGAGCTTATGGGAGAATATTTCACATCCTGGGATACTGTAAATTAATAAAGCTTTTTTTCCCCCTGGCAAAGTTAGCCTTGCAATACCCCAAAGGCCCAGAAGAGAGAAGATTGCTGCTTCAGAAGCCAGGGAACATTACTGACAGCGGTTGAGGCTGCACCACAGGAGTTGCAGAGTTCAGGCCATCACAACAGCCTGCTCCGTATCTTTAAAAGCTTTTCTGGATCTGTGGCAAAGCAACCTTCTTCAGAATTTAAAATTATTAAGCAGCTACACAGATTTGCTGCAAACCTGCTGGAAGTGTACTCTACATCACTTTTGGCAGCTCTGTTAAAAACAAACCCCTGCTTCTTACCCATGGTAGCCTGTAACAGTCCAGAAAAATTGTTTTGCACACAAGACACCCCTGATAAAATGTCCAATTGCTTTGGCAGGGCTCAATAAGGTTGCCCTATTTACTTAAATGCTGGAGCATAAAAATAGATAATAAATAAATTCCAGTAAAAAAAGATTGCTTGTGTGGATACTGATTCTTCCATTGATGCAGACCAATTTTAATACTCCAGATTTGCATAATGCACACTTCTTCAGTATAGATTACGCTCGAGTGTTCTGGGTTCCTATAATTTTGAACAGTTTTAGATCACACCACTAAAACAATTCATTGAAATGAGAGACACTAAAGTAAGATGAAAGAGAAGTGTGACTACATTTTACTGGAACAAATCCAGAACCAAGGCTTGGGCAGCACTGTTTTGTTTTTGACGTGACATACGCAAAATTGTATTTCTAATATAATATTGATTTTCATTTGTATTTGCCTGAACTGATGCGGTTCTGGATCTTGCCAGCTCATAAGCACATGTGCCGCTGCACGCTCAGAATAGCTGAGGCCAAGGAGATGGCAGAGGCAGCCTGTACTTACATGTCCTCATTTTTCTGAAAGGTCTCAAAGCCAAACAGAACTTGG